CCTGCTGCTGAGCTACTTTGTGTTGTGCAGTGTTTGAATTGTGGGAGGCCTTCATTCACTTTTCTTTTTAAAACGGGTGAAATGCTAGTTCACAAAATGTTCTTTGCCATCCAGGCAGCTTTTAATTTTCTGTGTCACAAAGTGATATTGCTCCTAAGCACTTTATGCCCTTTTTCAGCTGTGTCTATTGGGTGTCGGCCTTGAAAAGTGAGTTACTAGATGCTTTTTCCATCTCTGCCTGTGAGCGTCTACCTCGGTGTCTGTCTGTAGAGCTGTAACCAACAGTATGTTGTATAGGATTCAGTATTCCTGGCTTGTGTGGTGCCTGGCACCCTGTAGATGCTGCAAGCTTATAAGTGACTGATGCTTTGGGATGAAGAAGTTCTCTACAAGTATGAAGGATTGTTGCCCCAAAGCTGGGCATCTTTTAATCATCATTCCATTTGGCAAAAGGTGTCAGCAAGCTGCCGAAATGTGTGTATAATGATCGCTTGCTAGTTTAAATCTGGGCAACTAAGACCTCGGGCAGATGTTACATTTATGGCATAATTAACATACAGTGCCATAAATTATATGCTAAACGTTCATCCACCTTGCAACATAAAATGGCAAACCAGGAACAAAGATGTTCCAGGTGCAATGTAGAATATCTTTGTGGCTGGTTTGTGTGGCACCTTAAATTGAATGTGTGGCATGTTTTGTGTTCCAGACCAGGGCTGCCCCACCAATGCTGACAATCACAGCCTCAGATCTGGAAAAGGACCTGAGGCTCTCTGGAGCCAGTACACTTACCTGATAGTCACCACTGATCCCAGACAGCCTCTGGTCTCGGGGCTGCTTCCAACCCAATGCCTGGGTTTGGGACTTGGAGCAGCTTTGAGTGTGGAACTAGGGATCCAGGGTTGCCCATACCTGAGCCTGATGTTTTGGGATTGGGCATGGGGCAGCTCCAGGGTCCAGGACAAAGACCCTGCCCAATCCACAAGATCAGGTTAGGGGCAGCCCTGCAGTGGTGTGATTTGGTTATGAGGCATTTTATGGCCTATCCCAAACATTACTCATCCTGCCATGTACATCTGGTTTTACAGGATCCGTGTTTTTTGGAGTGGGACGTAACATTCCTCAGATCCCAATCATGCCATTATTTTAACGTCTGCCAGGGCCCTAAGATCGTAAGCAACTCAAGGCTGTGTTTAGCTAGCACTAAAATGTCAGCCGATGCTTCTGTGTGTTCCTGCTGTGTTGGTTTAATTTTCAGTCTTCTGTGTGTCTGCAATCAAAACCTTAAGTGGCAACCTGCTAAGTGAATTACAGAAATCCTCTGCATTTCTCTTCCCTTCCTTCCTTGAGACGGGCTAGTTTGTATAGGGTCCTCGTCCCAAGTTAGGTTCCAACTTTACTACTACCAATAATAAGTCTGTATCTATAGTCAACTAAAATCTCCATAGGCACTTCCTGCATGCTTTACAGCAATGGTAACGTATCAAGAACTCTGGAATAAGAAGCAATTTATCTCCATCTGGCACGTTTCCTCTGCTTTGACACGCAACAAATGATTCCCTGAAGCAGGTATATAGGCAGTTATTGGGCTTTGACATACTGCGGATTCCTGTTGTATCAGATGACGGGTGTTAGCAGCACCATCTTTCTTAGTGTAAAGAGACTGCTGCCACTGCTCCATTTCTAGCAACGTGCATTTTCCTACCATCCCTACAGCCCATATTTATCTTTGTTGCCTGGAACTTGATAGACCTGAGTGTGTTTCCAGGACTGTTGACAGGTGCTCTTGTGTAATGATTTGCAAGGGGCTTTTCAATGGCTTTAGGGAGAGGAGGACAGTAAGGATATATGCACCTTAGTGGCTCTGCACAATTTCTCTTTGTTTAGAACCAGCTGGTTTCTAGTACATTTAATTACTTCCCCCTGCAGTTTACATGAATATGGGGTATGGATAGGGAAGAGTCACTTTGAGTGAAAACACTTCCTTAATCTGAGATGCATCCTGGTATAATTATAGCATGCAAGCAGAAACAGTCTCATCCAACCAAGTCCTTTCCTACACTAATTGGTCCCCCTAGAATATACTACCAGTGATTTCTCTGCATGGGAAATAGTCTGCTATGAGCATCTGAAAAGCAGTGTGGGCTAAGAAAGTACCTGCATTTATCACCTTGAGTGTCTCTGAAGTCTTGTCAAATAAAAGACTGCATCCCAGATATTAGAAGGGAAACCAAATCTATTTCTGCTCGTGACCATGGACCTATCTTTTCCCTCTTTGGGAAACATGGGCACAAGATTTCATGTGCATCTCGGTAAGGTCCACATTGTGGAGCCTTTCCCCACTCCAAGTGGTTATTTATGCAAACTGGCATCAAATTCAGTGGCACTCCTTGCACGAATAACTGTTCAACAGTTACTTCACCCTTTGAGGCTAAAGGCAAGTTCATAGACCCATTGCTCTGACTTGCTTATTGAATATACTTACAATCTGCTTAATTTCCCAGGGGTTGCCTTTAATTTTGTGTCAACCCAAAGCTTTTCAGTTGTATTAGGAAAGCATTTGAGCAAATGTTGGCAGGAAGCTTTGCAATACAAGGGCTAAAGAAAAGAAGGGGATTGAGTGAAATAGGAAACCATGGACACTAGTGGACTCAGGCAGGAGGGGCTGTATTCAGCAATGGGTGTCTATGCTGTGTTATACGCCTCCTGTGGCCTTCTTTGACTCACTCCTCTGCCTTCTGTGCACAGGGCACAGAAATGGGCTACTTTTCCCGTTCAGCTTAAGACAAAGGGAACATTAAAGTTAAGAGGGAAAGAACAAAGAAAGAATATCAAAATATCTCAATTGACAGGCATGGCAAACACTGGCACTGACGGCTTCAATTACTTGCATGGGGTCAGGGAAGGAGTGTGGCAGAACCACAGAACTGAACCCAGATCAACTGAATCCCGCCTTCCTGTCTAGTGTTGCAGGAGTTCCTCGTTTGCTTTTTTCTTGACCAACACTGCCATCAGCATGGAGACTTGATAAATGAATCTGATGGTTGGTAACGGCTCTCTCCATGGTGCTAGTCTTTGTGGCAGGCGTTGATAGCGCTTGCCTTCGAGCACTGAGCAGCTGCTGAGTTAGAACTGCCTAACTGCTATCACTGGATTGTGACTCGGTTGGGAGAGAGGCTGGTGATTCCATCAGGAAAAGAAGATATCCAGAGTGCTTGGATAGCAGTATCTTTGAGGGAAAACTAAATTAGTGTAACGTGTTAGGAGAGGAAAAAGAATGCTATTGTAGTCGAGATATTCTGGAGGCCAGAGTTCCTGTCCCATCCTGACATAGGCTGCTTCTGTAACCTTAGACAAGTCATTTAAACTGAGAATTTCAAGGTGATTAACAATCATGCTCAGCTTTTATAGCAGTTCTCTTTCATTGATCTCAGACTACCTTACCAGAGGTCAGTATTACTATTCCTATATTAAAGATGGAGCAACAGAAGCATGAAGAGAGAGTAACTTGCCAAAGGTCAGCCAGCAGGTCGGTGGCAGAGCCGCAAATGAAGCCCAGGTCTTTTGAGTCCCAGACCAGACTCTGATTGCCCAACTTGAAAGACGTTTAAGGATACTTATTTCAGAAAGTGCCTTCTGAAAATTGGAGGCTTTAAAAGTGTCCCATTCTGAGCACCCAAAAGCACTGGTCCTTTCTGAAAATCTCAGTGCGAGTGTCTCTGCCTCTGCTCTCTCCCAGCAAAATGAGGACAGTGATCCTGCTTCTCACTGATGCTTTATGTTGTTTGCTTCTGTTGTACTCTGTCCTGTACATGCACTGCACGACTAGACAGTGCTAGCACAATGGGTGGAGCCTCCCAGCCCTGTATTAATACAAGTAATGAGTCTATTAGACTGTGGAGCTGTCTCCCATCAGACTTGAGAGAAGCCCTGATATGAAACGTTTCATAGTGACTGAGCCACTCTGGGCTATTGAGAACATCTTTGTACAGCCAAAGGAGGGGCTGGTGCAAGAGAATTAGATAACATTGCTTCCTTGTAGCCTCAACCCTTTCTAACTTGCATAAGTCTGGAGTGTGCATCTGCTCTAGTAAAACCACTTTGCACAGAAATCTGCAGTATGTTTGTTTTCAAAGGAGGCATGTCTGAAAGCACTGCAGCAATCACTCCTGCTTTCTTTGACACTGTAGATCTATTAAACAAAAACAAGGTGTGGGGAAGGAACATCAGACTGTGTCCAAATCATTTATCAATGCCACCAGCTCTAGCATGTAACCTGCCTGGTCCTGTTTTCTACTTGTGGTAGGATGGCTGGGAGGTGGAGTTAATGGATTTTGGCTTCGTTTCATCTATAGGGGGGGGGCAGTTTTTGGCTCTCTTTTTAACCTAAGGAGGCAATAAAATAAAGGCTTTATGATGATAAATGCTGGAGAGAGATGTGAAGAGTATACCCTATTTAAATATTCTTCATTGCCTGAACAGAGTACAGACCTTAACCCCTACCATTCCAATCTGTCTGCTCACAGATCTTAAAAGAGAAAAGCTAGTGAGAAGAGTTTATCATGTTCAAGGCAAAACCAGGCTGTTGTAAGGAAGGGAGCATTAGTATCCCCAGCATGGGGTGAGACACATTCTTTACAGCAACTGAGCAGCTTCATCAACCCTTTCTGCAATTGCCCTGCTCCAAAAGGGGTTTTCAGTTTTTTACTGGTTGCTGGGCTCCTGTCCCACCACCACTTTGCATTGAGCCTGTTAAGGGCTTTAGGGGAAGGCCATCAATTCTAATTCCTTCCTGGGAAGAGAACACATGCAGCCGTTCTAACAAATACAGCATCCTCCTCATAACAGGAGTAGGGTGTCTACCTCGCCTTATTTCCCCCTTGAATTCAATAGTATCTCTGTTTAGCAGATTTAATTATTTTTTAAAGAGGCTAAAATGTGATTAACATTTCTCTCCCCACCCCAAAATACAGATTTGCATTAATTTAGTTCTCATGGAAGATGAAGTCTTAATAGCATCACCCTGATATCAATGGGAACTCCCCATGTATTTCTTAGTGCTTCATCATCTTCCTTTCATCCCAGACCTTATGGTACTGTTAGGTCTCTCAAAAGAACAGATAACTTGTGCTTTTGCTGAATTTTAGCCATAGAAGTGAACATTTTACAACATGCACAATTTACAATGACCATGGGGTTAATGTGGTCTTCACTGGACTCCTAATCCAGGCTATAAAGCCAATGCAGAAGGCTGACAGATCTTACACTTCTCCATTCTTTATTAATCCTTTTATATTATTTTTTGTAGTCAAACATGTATAAGCAATGACTACAGCAGAGCTCAGGGATAGAAAACCTTTTGCTATCCAGACTTCTGGGGCTATTGAGTTGTTTCCAAGCCTTTTATCTTAATCTTGGCTTGGGGGACTTCCTTTTAGACCAGCTGCAATCCCACAATGCTGCTCTCCTCCTAGCTGAAAACTTAAGGGTCAAATTGAAGCCCACTTCCATTCCAGAGGACTTAAACCACACTTCAGTTGGCCTAACTTTCTTTGTCTCCATGATATTTTAACCAGCAAGGGTCTTCTGCTGAGCTGCTCAGAAGGTGTAACAGGATGCAGCCTTTCTTTTCACCATGACTGATTCAGGAGGCTGGGATGATTATACTGAATTACAATAGCTTTTAAGTGATGCAGCTGAATCGTGTAACATTCTTCTGAGCGTTAGCATTGCTGGCGGGATTTAATTAGCTGATACTTCTGTCCAGTACCTGAAGATAAGTTGAGTAAGTTAGAACCTAAAGAGTCATTATTATTTTCTTAATGTCTTGAAAAGATGCATGCCCTAGTTGCTGGTGAGTTGCCTAAACAGAGGCCTCAGCACCCACACCTGTAACATGCCTAGCTCTGTTATTCTGCCAATATATATGTGCTACTTTCACCATCTGCTTGACCTGTGGACACTCTAAATTAGGTATTGATGAGCTAAAGTTGAAGTGGGAGGGGAGTCATTGTAGGACTGCTGCAAGCTAATCAAGTCACATGCCTCTCAGCCTTGGCTGCATGCTACTGGAGGTAGTAAGGGATTTTTGGCATGTATAGAATTACACCCTAGGGTTTTGCTTCATGCTCAGCTTTCCCCCAAAGTATCAGCCGTTGTCTTCTGCAGCGACAGTTGTGGACTTAATGAAATGATACTAAGTAGTGGAAAGAGCTAATGTTGCCAATCTTAATGCCATCTTCCATTTGAATTTGTACAGCTCACTTATTGTGTGCATCCCTCAGGAAGCCAAGTTAAAAGTCTACCCAAGCTGAATGGCCCATTGGGTGAGCGTGGTTCAGGTGCACTATTTCCTACAATCCTCATCATGTGAAGGAGCGATGTGGCCAGCATCATCTCCAGCCACCCTTGACACTCAGCCCTGGTGAGCTGAGAGCCTTTTACAGATAGGTTGACTGGAAACAGCCTTCATTGAATCAAAAGCAGGACTCATCCTTGTTCTTCTGGAGCCATGATGGGATGTTTTAACCATCCTGGTATCCCCCACAATGTAGGGAGTCAAAATAGGAATGATTTAGAGTGCGATTTTTTTTTTTTTTCCCCCCCCCAGAAGTGTTGCGCTAGCAAAACTTCATAGGAGAGGACCAATGGGAACTGGTGGGGATCAGTAAACCCCATTTTTCTGTCAGGCTGTATTATGACTTCCTCACCCATTTTATTAATAATGAGAGGATTTTGGTTTTCTGCTTTGTGTACTTTGGGTGAGCAGCACTTCTGGTTGCTTTACTTGACCTTGTTTATTCCTCCAAACTGATGCTTTTCTGAGTTGATGCTTAACTTCAAGAAGTAAACTTTGGACTAGATATCCAGTTTACGATGACAGGCTGAGAGCCCTGGGGCTCTTTAGCCTGGAAAAGCGCAGGCTCAGGGGTGATCTGATGGCCACCTACAAGTTTATCAGGGGTGACCACCAGCATCTGGGGGAACGTTTGTTCACCAGAGCGCCCCAAGGGATGACGAGGTCGAATGGTCACAAACTACTTCAAGATCGTTTCAGGCTGGACATAAGGAAGAATTTCTTTACTGTCCGAGCCCCCAAGGTCTGGAACAGCCTGCCACCGGAGGTGGTTCAAGCGCCTTCATTGAACACCTTCAAGATGAAACTGGATGCTTATCTTACTGGGATCCTATGACCCCAGCTGACTTCCTGCCCTTTGGGCAGGGGGCTGGACTCGATGATCTTCCGAGGTCCCTTCCAGCCCTGATGTCTATGAAATATCGTGGAGCAAAATCCTGATCCTCCACCAACTGGCCCTGCTGAAACAAACAGTGCCACTCATGTAGTAAGCAACTACTCATTGCGAATCATTTATAAAATACCGATTCTTTGTTTCTCTAAAGTGAAACTCGATTCAGATAAACTCTTAGAGGTTAGCTGTCTGAGGCAGCTTTCTGCAATCCCTTCTGCACTATTTTTTCGGTGCCTGCTGCACAAAGCAGAGCATAACCTACCTATGTGCAATGAGAGTGAGGGGTCAGCCCATTTTGTTAGGGCCTGGGGTCTGAGGCACCCTTACTGTCAGAGCAGATTGCTCGGTGACTGAATAGGTCAAGACCATGACACTGTCTTCTCCCTTCTTGACTGGGCTATCAGGTCAGCCTTGAGATAAGGATAAAGGGCCTGCTGGATGGAGAGGACAGCAGGATCTGTCTCCACCCATTTGGCTCTGTTCATTAGCATTAAATTAATGCAATAGAAAAAGAGGCTTTTTTCCCTTGTTCTGCTCTGTGGCTCTAAGCTACTTATGTGGCTTTTCCCAGGTCTGAGAATTTTCTGAGCTCTGTTGGGACCTCCAGACAGGATGGCAATACAAACAGTAATGAGCCTCTCACCAATGCATGCATTTATACCCTAGGATGCAGAGGGAGGAGGGCTGTATCTCCCTGAAACCCTATGCCCCACTCACCTGCTGCCAGTTGCATCCAGGCACAGACTTTGTAGACCGTGGCTGCATTGCAGAAGAAGAAGAGGCTGAAGCAGAGGATGCAGCCGATGATGAGGAAAGTGGAGATGCCCACGAAGAACATGGCTGTCTTGAAGGCACCAGAGGGGATGGTGCCCAAGTCCAGGGGGCCACCCTTGCAGATGAGCTCGCCGGTGAGAGCGTTGCCGATGCAGTAGGAGAAGAGGCCGAAGTAGCCGGCCTGAGGGGTGTCAATGCTGTCGCCGATCCAGTAGGGCTGGATGAAGGTCACCATCATGATGATGGAGAAGCAGAGGGTGAAGAGCATCCACAGCACCCCCATGGCACGTGCGTTGCGCACGTAGTTGGTGTGGTAGATCTTGGCGGCCTCCTGCGCAGGCAGCAGCTTGGTCATGGTGCTGCTGGAGGGGACTGGAGCAGGGTGGGGGGACCTGCTTGGCTGGCCTGTGGCTCCAGGGGCTCAGCCGGGGGCTGGGGTCGAGCATGCGGTGGGGCCGGAGGATGCGGCTGCCTCTCGCCCTGGCTCCGCGGCTAGCATCAGGGCTCG